TCTTCTTCCTCTGTGTCCTCTCCTGAACACCACTCCCAGGCCCAGGGGTGAAAGCCTGAAGATGAGGGGGAAACACAGCTCTTTCTGACTTCTCTGTTCTCTGTTCTTTCTTCCTCTGTGGCTTGAACCCCTTCCTCTCCAGCACAGTAAAACTGAGCTTTGGGCTTGGATCCCGGAGATAAAGGGGCAGTAGGTGTTCTGGCAGCTTCTTTGTGTACAGCTTCTTCTTCCTCCTCCTCCCCTGGACCACACTCCCAGAGTGATGGAGGAAAAGAGAAGAACGTGACCATTTCATCTTCAGCAGCTCCTCCTTCCACAGATGGCTCCTCTCCACGAGGTTCTTGCAGGGTTCTTAGAAGGCTGGGGGACAGGGGAGCAGGCTGGCCATTTCTAAATTCACCTCCTTGCTCTTTAGGGACACTGGCTGCTTGGTCCCCACCACACTCTTCGTCATCATCTTCTGAAAGTTCCCAGGCTTTAAGAGAACGGTTGGCTTTTAAATCATGGCAGGCCTCCCAAAATGCTTCTCCATCCTCCTCAGCTGCTCCACTGTCTCCAGTCTCCCCTTGAAAGTGCCTGACCCAGGGGGAATGGCAGGTGGCCGGAAATGTCTTGGCTTCTCCCCCCAGGCCAGCTTCTCCCTGATCGGCTTCGGTTACTGCTTCCAACAGCCAGGGTTCTGGAGGTCCTGGGCCCCTCAGGTGGCTCCAGGCCCTGCTGAGAAGGCCCATCAGTGGGGACAGGAGGAAAAAGGGGTAGGTTTCCCTCCAGGAGGCACAATGATGGGGCACTTGGCCTGGGGCCATCTGTCTGGGCTGGAAATAAAAGGAAATAGAGTTTAGAAGCCATGTAGAGGAGAGCATCAAGGGATGACTGTGAGTCATAGCAACGGAAATAGTAACACAAATAGCAACAAGAGATTCCTGTCCCACATTCCTTGCTGATCCCTGCCACTCCCCTCTCCAGCAGAGGCCCAGTGGTTCCCACCTCTCTTCTCTCCATACCTAGGAGTCTGAGCCAGCCCCCCAGCCTCTTCTCTCAGACCCAGAAGTCCCAGTCCCCAGAACTGAGAATACAGGTCCTCTGCTTGGTCCCCTTGGGGACAAGGTCCTAGTCCCTGGCTCTCTCATCCTCCTGAGGATCGACAGATCAGGCCCTCATCACTCTCCTCCCTCTGAGACTCAAAAGTTAAGACCTCCGCAGGGTTCCATCCATTCCACCGGGGACTCATGAGTCTGGCTTCCAGAACCCTCCTCTCGCTAGGCTCAGGCCTCCAGGATCCCAATTTCTTCTCCTTCCTTCTCCCTGGAGTGCGTCCTTGTCCCACCTCATCCCAGACATAGGAGTCTGGGATCCCAGGCCCTCGTTCCTCAGGACCCCGGGGCCCCGGCCTCAAACCCTCCTGTCTCGGTACCCAGAAATGCAAACTCCCTCTTCACTGACCAGGAGTCTGATCCCCAGCCCCCAACTGCCGGCGGCGGGGGGGGCGGTACCAGGCGTTCGGACCCCTCACTCACCGACTCGGGGCTGCACCTCACCCTGGGGGCAGGAGGGCCGGCTCGGGTTGCCACCAGCGATCGCAGATCTGGACGACTCGGGAGGCCAGCGCGTTCATCTCGCCCTCCGGTGCCGGGCTCGGGGATTCAGCTTATCACCTGCGGGGGCGAGCACTGTCGCAACGAAGGGATACGGGTCTCCTGTCGTAGGCGGGTGTGATCCACAGCGAGGTTGGGAACTGACGCGGCCCGCACGGCTTTTATAGGCCAACGCGGCCGCGTGTGATGACGTCACGAGGGGAGGCGGGGTTTCGAAACCCAGGAGCCTGGGCGTTGGGGTGGGGAAGGGAAAGTGAGGTCGGAATTCTCGCGGAGATTCGGGGGTTTTGTGTGACGACACCGCGGCGTTTCCGAACGCGGCCACGCCCCGAAATAAGCGAGCTTGTCAATCAAACGCGGGCACTGCCTCCGCCGCCTGGGCGCTCTCCCAGCTCCTTTCCGGGTGGGAAACCGGCTTCCCGCCCGGATTTAAAAAGCAGGCCACAGGCTAGAGTCTCCCACCGTCACTACCGGTCCGCTCCCTTCCTGGTGGGGCAGAGCATTGTTTTTTCACATTCCATTTTCACGGATGAGAAA